TTTTCCTTGTATCCTGTTCTCTTCATTCTCCCTTGCTCCCGAAGGGATGAGACCAGTGGAGTATCTCAGATGGCTGCTCACAGGCTTTTAAGACCCCAGACGCTCCTCAACAAGGTATAGAACATTGTCTTTATAAACTGTGTTATGCCAATTTAGCTAGATGTTCCCTGAGACTGTGGTCCCAACTGCCCTCCACCCAGCAATTCAGTCCTTCAGGGAGTTTGGATGTGTCTATGGAGCTTCCATGACCTTTCCTTGTACAAGTTGTGTGATCCCCTCAATTTAAGATGATGTCTTACAGACAGACTTACCGACACACTGAAAGTGCATTATAGACAATTAACAACTGAAAAGGAAAAGCTGGACAGAATCTCAGGCAACAATTCAAATGATGCACATAAAACAAGATTCAAGATTTTTTTCCCGTGTTTTAACGTTATCTCCTATAAGCTATTAAAACTGTATTTAAATAAAATACCTCAGGTGTCACATGCCACATCATAATTGTTAAGTATTTTTGCTTTTATTATGTGACCAAATGTCATAATCTATTAGACTCCTTTTTCTCACTGAGAAGTAGGGATGTATTCATAAAGAAAAGCTACAGAAGTTCAAGCTCTGATATAGATCCTACATGCATTACACTGCAAAACACAAATTCGGCCATCTATTTACCCTGTTAATCAAAGTCTCAGAATTTACCTGACGTTGTCATGATGAGGATTAGAAGTGGCGGCAGCAGACCCACCACGCAACACAGGTCTAAGGCAGGTTTTTGCGGAGAAGGCACAAGACAGAGTCAGGAGACAGAGAAGTAATAAAAGCAAAAATAAGACAAATGTCAAATACGATTATATTGTATGTGTCAATACAATATAATATCTCTAAAATACTTTAAAAATTTTTGTCTCATATGTTCTCCATTTTACGATTTTCATAAATTTAACAATATTACAATTGATTAAAGAACAAAGGGAATCTATATTTATGTCACAAAATAGCACCAACATATAAAATAATTTTACTTTGGTGCTTACATTTTAATTTATGAAACTCAAGACAAAGGACAACTCTCTTTACAAAGTCTCATTCTTCTCTTCTAGCTGGAAAAAAAAATCACTAGCAACTTCAGAAGCATGTCAAGAACTGGTTAGTTGCACCTGCATGATCATGGTTGCTCAGCTGAAATCAACAGCTCTATCCCCTAAACAAAATTCCTTCCAGCCCACCTCGATGATTTTGATTGGTGCCTGATGTCTTAATGTATTCCAACCCTCAGCTCTCAGAGCGAAACTGTCAGCCTCAGTTCTGGAGGTGGGAAGATCAAGGACATGTTCGGAAGATTTAACTACAGCACATTACAGGAAGTGCAATCAAATACGTGCGCTGAGTCTAACCTTGAGAGACAACCAGGAGTGACATACAGCGCTGTTGGAAATGAAGACTAAAGTGCACTGGAAAACTTTGTGGGGGTTTTCACTCAGTCTCAGCACATACTTTGATTCTAGAAGACAATTATTTCTAGCTAGATAAGCAGTTACCTCTCGAATACATTTTTTTTTTTTTAAACCCGGAAACTAAAGCTTTACATGTTCCCTGGTCAATTCCCCAAAAAGTTAGCAGCAATACTTACTAATGTGAGAAAGGAGATTAGGGGTATAGGATCCATCAGATGGTTTTGAGGATCATTACATCCATTTTGAGTGTCTCATTCTCCAAGTAACTGCTCAAGTTTTGCCTCAATTAAAGTATCAAGGCAATTCTTAATTACGGTAAATGTTTAATACCAAATGCACTTTTTTTTTCTTTTCTGTAAGTTGGCAAAGCAACAAAAATTTGACTACAAATCACTATTTTCTGACAAGTCAATTCATAAAAGAATATTTTAATGTTTAGCTTCTACATTTCCTAAAGGTGTTACCAGTGTTTAAAGAAATTTCTGGGGCCTAGAGGATAAAGGATTCAGAGATTTGGGGGGGAGACATGTTAGACTTTTATTTTCTTGGCTCAAGAAGAATGAGAAATCACATACCCTGGAGACAGGTTTTAAACTCATACCATCCCTGCTACCATGTTTACGCTGTGGTATTGGGAAAACTTATTTAACTACACTCTTAAATAACACTAACATGAGAACGGTTAACTAAGTAAAGTCACCACTGTCTGCTACCTAAAGCCATTAAAAAAAAAATGCTCAAACGGATCTGTCACATTCCACCTATTCCGCCAGAGATTTCCCTTTTATAATGCAGAGCCAGAAAATAATACAGTTACCTTTCACAACGTATTTCATTTTGTCTTCTCACACTGCCAATTGACACATATAATATAAAAGTAAATTAGACAGGTATTTGGTAAAGTTTGAAAGTTCATTCAAGTACCACTTTCTATCGTAAGTATGATTTAGTACATTAAAAAAATCTTTTCAAGTATGTTTAACGTTATTATGTTTTGTAATTAGAGTGGCAAAGGGAAGGAAATCCAAGGCTACAAGTTCCTGCATTAACTTGTTATACTGACGTTTTGGAGTAACATGTATAGTCTGACTTCATAGAACATGTGTTTCTTTGCTACAAAGATGTAAAGTGCTACAGTAAATAGTTTGACTGAGAGGACCAGAAATTACATACATTTTTTAAAAAGATAAATTACAAATAACGAACACTGTATCAACTATAACTGCATTGCTACATCTTCCAAATTATATATTTATAGGGATACTTGCAATAAATACAAATTTTTCACATATTGGTTCTTATTCTGTTCACTCAAAACTAGTATAATCTGTAAAACAAAAAACTAAAAAAATTGTATAAAAATAATCAAGTCCCTCCTAAAAATAAACCTTAAACATGCTAAACTGTTGAGATTTAAAAAATATTCTTACTTAGAAACTAAGTTTCTCATTTAAAATGTTAACTATTACTTTGCACTGGAGGATGAGATACATATATCTCTAACAGATGCTGGACAACGACACATACATTTCCTAACCAGCCCAAACCAAATCAGAGTGGTGTTTTAAATCCTGCTGCCACTGATCAAAGAATGTATCTGGTGCTTGTCCCAGTGTCCCAGGTATTTTGGTAAAATTTCAATATATCAGTTTTCCAAATGCACAGTACTGACCTATGTAAATGAACCTTTCTACTGTATACTTAGGATTTAAATTTGTTTTCATACTGAGCTTGGCTTGGAGCATCTAAATTCTCATCTGATAAGAAAATGAAAATATACTACATAAAACTTTTCGAAGTATCTCTTCAAGTATAAAACAAAAATAGTTCTTATGTCAAACAACTATGAATCTGCATTACTTTATATTAATAAAGCAGGGAGAAAGCTTTTTTCTTTGTCTTTCTTTTTGCCAAATAGTTCCAGCTTAATTTAAATATACCTAATGGAATAGCATAAGACCAAGCATAACATATTGCTGCATTAGCATAACAGCCGACAGCAATAAAACAGAAAGGAAAAAATCAGGCACAGAGCAAAGAACATAAAAGCACTTAAACTTTATAAGCAGTATTATTTTATAATCATGCAAACAGAACATTATCCAAATTTCACATTCCTATTTCTTGTATCTGAAAAGTTTTCATAGTAGAAATAAAAACTGATTTGGCACTTACAGTTGTTTAATCTTGTTCAATGTTTAGATGCTAAGAGATTTAAATATAATTAAAAAAAAAACAAATTACTTTTCAATAATGAAAGCATCCAATAAGACTGACGAGAACCTAACACTCCAGGCTCCAAGGTAACAAACTAAAGGTAGGTATCCAGCAGCAAAATATTATTAATGTAACTACTCTATAAATTTTTAAAATCTCATTTAAGTGCAAAGAGAAGATCATCCCTTCTCAGAAAAGCAATTTTAAAGTGACCAATTCATTAAAATTAAAAAAATGAAACCACTTAGGGCTCAAAGCAGTTTCTCATAATAAAAGTATACAAAGTAAATTTTACATTAGGAAGATCTCTTTGTACTTTTGAACCTGAGGCAAAAAAAATTTCTATTATGCAGAAAAAAAAAATGTAGCTATTTTTGAGTTGCACAGCACTACATGAACTATGTATGCCGGGAGAGCAACAAATAATTTCAGTGTGCTGGGACTGTGTCATCTGCTTATTACTTAACCTACAGAGGATTTAGAAATATCCTTCTCATTTAGATATTTTCACTGTAATATTATTTGATACAATATAATCTGACCTAATAATCTGGTCTGTTCTAAGGAAATGAGGAAGACCCGTTGTAATTAAAAAGTTAAAGAGGATGCCTGGTGAAGAATAAATCTGTTTTAAGGTGGGAGGAGACAACAGGTTCTGTAAATGTTAGTTCTTAAGTGCCAAGCACTCACATTCAGTATCTTTTGAGGGGTCTCCCAGCTCACTAAATAAAGACTTTGAGGCCACTATCCAGGAAGCTAGATGTTATTATTATCCATATATATATATAGATACTTTTTTTTTTTAAAACAGATGAGGAAAATGAGACCCTGGAAGCTAAATAATTTGTCCAGGGCTATCACGCAGCGAGGCCCTGGTGGCACAGGGCTTAAGAGCCACGGCTGCCAACCAAAAGGTCAGTAGTTTGAATCCACCAGGTGCTCCTTGGAAACCCTATGGGGCAGTTCTACTCTGTCCTATAGGGTGGCTATGAGTTGGAATTGACTCCATGCCAACAGTTTACAGGTATCATGCAGCTGGACCCCTGGTGGCACAGTGGTTAAGAGATAAACTGCTAACAAAAAGTTGGCAGTTCGGATCCACTAGGCGCTCCTTGGAAATCCTATGGGGCAGTTCTACACTCTCCTGTAAGGTTGGTATGAGTTGGAATCGACTCGACAGCAACATGCAGCTATTTACCATGCAGCTATTTAGTGGGGTGAATCAAGACAGAGACTGAATCTGAATGACCCTCTGAATTCAAGCTTTTTTCTCCCTTGGAGATATATATAAAAAACATATATTCCCCATTCCACCCCTGCCATGAGCTTTTGCTCTTAAGATCTTTGTGCTGCAGCTTAGAAAGGCTGTGGATTTAGCATTGGTCAAGCAGTACAGACACATGCTCATCAAGTACGTGAAACACTCGGGGCTTGTGTGAGGATTAAAAAGCACTCAGCAAGCAAACGTCTGTACAGAGAAAGCCACAGGGCATACCTGTTTCTAAATATGAAGCAAAGTTTACTTGAAGGGCCAGCTTACATTTACTGGAAATTCTTTAAAATTCACCAATTAACAGTCTAATAAAATAATAACGAAAATTCAAACACTGGCTCACAGAGTCACTATATAAAACATCCAAAGTTGAAATGAAGCTGACTGTACCTTTCCCACATTATGTCCAAAAAGCTCCCCACATTTTATCTTTTCTTTCTCCTTTCTGAACTGTCTAAATAATGTTTATAAAAACTTGCAAATATAGTAGTAAAATTTATTCCCCAATGACATATGTAAAACACTATTTAGTAATGAAGTAAGAAAAAAAAGTGTTTGAAAGAACTGCATAAAAACTTACTTGTATGAACAAGCCTAAGCATTCTACTCATGATTTTTCTTGGAGACACTGAAAAGTGAGGTAAGTTACCAATACTGAAAATATCAGTAATATAAAAAAGACAAGCATATCTGGGATTCTCAATGCAGGCCTAGGGATCCCTAGCTAAGAGGAAAGAAAAAAAAAAACATCCTGGCACCTATACTGACATCACTTTCTCAGATCTGCTTCCTTTATTAGTCCAGTCAAATTAATATGATAAATGATCAAATCATAAGAATTACTAAAAACCAGTATGCTTCAGTCCAACATCCCACACTCAATCCAACAGTTATCTCTCAGCATATCCCAAAGTGTTCTCAAGTACTTAGAATAGGTCAGCAAAGCCTTTGAACCAAAACACCATACTTCCTGGGTACAGTTAGTAACCAAATAAACTCTCCCTGACTGAACATTATCTTGTGAAATGTGAATTTTGGACAATAATTTCAAATTAAAAGAAAGCAAAGCAAGTTGTTTCAAACCATTGCATCTTAGAAAGAAACAAGAAGGTGTGCAAACATAAAAGGAAGACACCACAGCCCACTAATAAGGAGCCAAAAACAATGCAATGAAGCCGGCAAGAATCACTGATGGCCAATCACCTGTGATTTTCATCCAGCACATCCAAGATCTGCTGGTAAGCCCTACGAGTAGAAGACTGGATAAGCGACAAAATGCCACGCACAGAGGAGAGATTAGCTCCATCGTCAGGTAACGTACGGGGAGGACAGACCCGAGCCTGTTGTGGCGATGGCGTCCCACTGTTTACATAGCACAGCAAACGAAGAGAAAAAGACTTGTCAGATTTTCATAAAACTTCAGCGGAGCACTTTCCACAAACACTTTAAGGCTTTTCTTACCCCTTTCTCCCACCCTTTATTTGCCCCAAGAAAACAGTCAAAGCAAAGATGTTAATTAACATTAGAACTGTTCTCACAACCAGCTACCGTGCAGCATCTGTAACTCTAAATATCAAAATAAACAAACTGAATATGAACGAGCAGCTCTGGAGAGGGAAGAGAACCAGAGCAGTAAGCTCATTACATCCCCAGTCTGCAGAAGCGGCATCCTTTATTTCGTGTACACATTCCAATTCTGTAAACCAAACTTCTAACAAACAACACTGCACTTCAATTTAGGGATGATCAGAAGAGTATGACAGAGGATTCTGGTAAACAGGTGTCAGATAAACTTTAAACACATGAATCAAAAGTGATTCCATGAAAATGCCATTTCAAATACTTCACAAATAAAGACTATGAAACAAGCTGAATTTATGGTGAATAAGTAACATCGATTTAAAGATGAATTAAAGTCTCAGAAAACGTTAACAAAAGCACTTTGATTGCATAACTAGAATAAAGCATATTTTCTCCAACTAAATGACTAAAACAGAAAACTACTCCCAATTCTGTGAATACAGTGAAGGAAGGCCAGGGCCGTTCTTAAATTATTAAGATATTAACAATTATTTCTAGGTTTCTCAGTGACAACAGGTTTCATCAATTTTTCTATGTTTGAGCTGGGAGTCACAATTTCTCTTGCTCCACTGCCAATGTTTCCTAAAAGCTGACCACATTTGAAGGAAGCCAGTTCTAACCTTGACTCTTAAGACCAGGGTCAACATTCTTAGAGAGCTGTTTTAACGGTAGAGCACGATCAGCTCCGCGAGGTACTTAACGTCACGTGGACGTGCCGTCTGGTTTGCTACAATGTGAGATTTGGGTACAATAGGAGGATTACAGCACTGGGACGAGGCCTGGGCATTCTCTCTCGTGGGCAGGGCAAAACCTATGTGGCTGAAGCTCATCCTTGTGCATTAGGTCCGAAAGAATGAAAGCAGAGCCGAGAGTCAACTGAAAAGAGAAAATCTTTTACTTTGACTTGTGCAATCTTTTCTAACTTAACATGTATTTGTTTGGAAACCACAAAGTAAGCAGGACAATTTTTGGAAGGATAGTTACTATCATCTAATATCATTCCCAGAGTCCCAGAGAATTAAAAAACAAAATCTTCTTCACAACTTTGTGAATAAATTTGAACGTCTTGATGATCCAAAGAGAGAAGCAGAATAGATATGAAAACCATGTTTCCAAAGACTATGCAAGCCAAATCTTGGCACACTGATAAATTAATCTGTTAAGGCTGATTTACCAGAGGAATTAGGCCTAATGGTGTCAAGATAAACTCAAAAATTTTCAGATACAGTCTCATGGATGGTTAATCTAAATGTCTGTCCATAGACTGGGAGTCTTCTGGAATATAGATAAGCCAGTTTATCAACTGACCTGTTGTACTTGGCAAAACCCACACTGGGCATCCTACAGCATAACTGGGATACAGTCTATATACTAGCCTTAAGCTCAGAGTTCTCTTTAGGCAGAGCAGGGAAATACCTGAAGCTCTTGCTCCTGGTGGGAAATCAGACTGAGTGCAAACTAGAAAAGCTTATCACCAGAGGAAGCGATAAAAACAGCTAGTTTTGCATCACTATAAATATACAAATCCACTTTACATTCTCTTCTTGATAGGGCTGCCAGTGTATCCGGCTAAGCTTACCTAAGCAAGTTTTAAAAGACTAGTCAGTGCAGTATCTGTTGACATACTTAAAATCTTTGCATTTGGGGGCTTAAACTGAACATTTAACAATGTTGCTTATTGTTCCATATTAGTATATAAACTAGCTACGTACTAATATATTCAAGTCTGAGTCAATATTTAGAATTATGATCTTAGAGCAACAATGTTAATGAACTAATTCAAGTCCATGAAAAAAGTCTGATGGATTTTTGTCCACTAAAAATTAAAAGAAGGGTTACTCCCTTAGAAAGAAATTATTTTTCCAGAAACAAGAAAAAAGGAATTGCTTACTTAAATTCTAAAAATCTAAGTATTTCCTGTCCATACGCAGGAAATCATAAATTATTCAAGTATAAACTAATTTCAGATTAACTGCAAATTATTAAAATGGAATGTACAGAAGGTTAGATTCTAAAACAGACTATACCAACTCTTTCAATTCTAAGATTCTGCGATCATATGAAATTGTAAGGTGGTAATAAATGGGAAAAAAAAAAAAAAAAAAAAACTCTCATGATTCTCATATGTAACCTAATTTAAAAATTATGTAGAAAGGTAAAACATGAAATTAAATCTTTGTTAATAATAGTACAGACATTCATTTCATCAAAGACCAATATCAAACACATCTGAATTTCTGATTGTTTCTCAAAAGAAATTAAAGATTCAAAGATTAACAAGAAATTTAACTTTTTGTTCATTTATGTGACAATGCTTCATGGCAGCAAAAACAGAATAGGACGTATTTTGTAAACTGACGGCCACTTTTGACAGTGTATGTACAGACTAAAGGCCCTTGATTATTAGTATTTATTTCCATCTACAGATAAACTGAATGATTAAGTCATAAGACGACCAATATAACCCCAATTAGAAACAACAAATAATTTAGCAATTCTTTTTTATTTTTTAAAGATTTAAGCCATCTTGGAAGTCTTTTCACAAATAAACAAATTTCGGAACAAAAAAGATAAAGTGCATTTTAGCAGTCAGTCTGATGCTACTCTGAATGTCTGACACTGGCATGAACTGCACATGGAAACTGCGCTTTCAGAGTTGAATTTCTGTTTGTCCACTCATCCTCCCAACCTAGGTTTAATGACTTTTTGCTTTTGTAGTTTTGTTTTGACAAGTGAACTATTGTGAAAAAAAAAAAGTAAGCATACTGCATAAGAGGCATTCAGAAGATTATTTAAACAACTGTTAAATATTAGTAACTTAATAAAAATGCACTTTGATAATAAATTGATCCTAGTAATGTTATAAAACAGCACAATTTCAACTTTACCTTCTTTTATGAAAAGTTAGAAAAATCTGAAGAAATAACTGAGGTTCACCATGGTATTTCATTAGTAACAGCTCTACATCATGCTTATACACAACCTCACTAAATGAGTGCGAAGTAGACAACACCAGCTAATATCAGAATCAAAATTAAAGTTGTCTCACATCACTATGTCATTATCAGAAGGTAAGTCCAAAGCCAAGTATCTCTGTTTCTCCAGGGATTTTCATAGGAATAACGTTTCTCAAACTGTGAGCTTAACCTCTTTGGGGAGGCGCTAGTCTCTTCCAAAAAGCAGTGAAGTGAAAAAGAAAAACAAAAATTGTCACTGAAACAAATTTTGTATCATTTCTTTTGGAATTTTAAATAAGGAGAAAATATTAATTTGTTGCCACTATCTCAGGCAACTTACTAGTTCCTAGAAGCAAAAAGAGAACCAGAAAAAGAGAAAAATCACTGGTTGCCAGTGTGGTTTCTCCTGTTGCTTACATTAGCTGCTGAACTCTTACACTGCATGCCAAGATAGTTCCCCTCATGAGAAGGTCAATCATTCCCATACATACAGAAAGAATGGGAATAATGATCTTAAAAATTCTTCCAAGCATAATTTTAAGTAACGGAATTAAAAAACCTTAAATGGCAAACGACAGTTAAGACTCCATTTTCCTTCTGGGTCAAAATGAAATTTAAAAAGATAGTGTGCTGAAATTAAACAAAAAAAAAAACGGCATCACTGAACCTGGTTAAGTTGAATCAATCGTAAAGTAATACACCAACCAAAGTGAGCTAAAGAAAATGGAAAAGAATGCTTGGTCCTTACTGTTTACGTTATTCCATTTTACATTCACTAATATACCCCAAATTATACATAACTTTTTTAGTTGGTCTTTTTCTTAAGAAAGTGTATGCTGACAGTTTGAGAAATCCGGAAACAGAGGTACAAAATGCCTACTGGTAAGAGAGTTAGGGTATTATATACCAATTACCCAGTAAAACAGATTAGTATAACATCAGCCTGAAAAATTAAAACAACTCCTACTTGTGAAAAGCAGATCAGATAAAATCTTACGTGTACTCCGGTGCAGAAATCGGTGCCTGGAACCTTGAAATTTTATTTCTTGGGGCAGAATCTGATCTGTGACACCTTAAATAATAATTATGCTTCTTTTACATATTCATCTTTTATAACACAAAGAAAAAGCTAGATATGATTCTACTGGTCAGGATTCATTTTTGTGCCAAGAGTTGACAATAATCAATCCTACTGCCTCTTGAAAGTAATTAAGAGAACAAAGGTGAGTGCTCCTGCTCTAAGTTCCGTCTGCACATCTATTGTTAAAGTCAAAGAATAAAATAAAGGAGAGGCAGGCAAAGGTTCATGTACAATACATAATCATCTCATGTTACAAAGAAGACTACGGCGGGTAAAGATAGCAAGAGTTTAATAATTACTTTCCCAAAAACCCATTTCCTCTGAGTAGATTCTGAGTCATAGGCTGACACGACAGAGTAGAACTGCCCCATAGGGTTTCCTAGGCTGTAAATCTTTATGGAAGCAGACTGTCACATCTTTCTCCTACGAAGCAGCTGGTGGGTTCGAACTGCCGACCTTTAGGTTAGCAGCCAAGCACTTTAACCATTGCACCACCAGGGCTGTTTCCAATAATTACTTTAGTAGATGTAAAATATAGCCGTATTATATTGTTTCTTTTCCTTACCAAAATAACACTGAACACATAATATGCCTGCCATACAAAATTCCTAAAGTTAATGAAATTAAAAGTCAATTCTAAATCTAAAAGATGAATTCAACTATAAATCATAAAATTAACAACGGCAGGCGAAGAAAAGGCAAAATTACATTATTATCAAAACAAAATACGGTTATGTAAGCATGTCACTGTGAACATGTATAGTTAAATATTCATGTTATTTTTACTACCAAAAAAGTTTTTAAAAACCTACAACTTAACAAAAGATGAGATTTTCCGTTTGGTTAATAAAACATTTAGAATACGTCACTAAGGCATTAAAGAAAAAAGAAAATCAAGTATTAGTTAGCACTGTTCGTCTTTTCTGTCATGAGGAACTATGTTATTGAATAACTGCCAAAACATCTAATAGGTAATCATCTACTCTAAATCAGTAGAGTTCTTCGAACCAGTTCTCTGGGCTAGTTTAAATACATAACAGAACTGCTTCCTTTCTCAGCTATAAATAATATATACAGTAAAACCTGCCAAAGCCAAAACCTGTGCAAGGCAGAAACCTGTGAGAGAAGGAAAACACAAATATTTTCCAAACTCAAAAATGAGCGAAGGAAAAGACTGCATCTTGTCAAAGGCGGAAAACCTGTGAGACCCAGAAAAACAAGGCAGTCCTGTCAAGTTCCAGCTCACGCAGATTTCACTGTACTTTATCAAAAAACAAAACAAACAAAAGTAATGCTATACTATAACAGTCCTATTTTTTCATTAACTAAGTAATAAAGGACCTAAATAATAAGCCACATCTTTAAACAGCAGAAAATTTTATTAGAAATCTTTGCTGCCTTTAAAATATTTAAGAAATAAGTAAAGCTACTTTAGCCATAAACTATGTGGCCTTTTCACTGTTTGTATGATATATTTGGAAATATGTAAGAAAAATGGATTCCATAGGCCTGCTGACATCCCTGGGTAACTTCAGAGGAGCATATAATTAATCACAGAAAATTTCACATTAATAATGGTTGCATCTTTCAGATAAGTCTTCCTTGAAAGAGATACATACTCATTTTAACTTGCTATCTTCCTATATGGAGCTCTGGTGGCACCGTTGTTAAGAGCTCGGCTGCTAACCAAAAGGTTATCAGTTTGAATCCACCAGCTGCTCCTTGGAAACCCTATGGGGCAGTTCTACTCTGTTCTATAGGGTCGTTGTGAGTCGGAATTGATTCGACAGCAATGGGTTTGTTTTGGTTTATCTTCTTATATAACCCTTCAAAATAACTGTAACTACTTTAGGAGAGATTTTAAAGCTCTCCACGAGATCAGAGCAGTTATATTTCCTTCTTCGTATCTTTAACACAACATAATAGAATTTCAACAAGGCAAGGAAAGAGTTTAAACTGAAGTTAGAAATTCACTGATTGATTGAGACGCCAGGAAACTTGTTCACAAAACTTCTTTTAAAGCAAGGATAAAAGTACATGAAGAAAAACCTATTTCTACTGAAATATTAAAGACCTCACCCCCATTAAAACCCCTTCTGCATCTCTATACTCTTTAGACAGGTCCAAACTAGAACCTGACATCATATAATACAAACGACATAATTATACCATGGTCTAGTTATGTCATATATAAACTTAAATGCTTTGCTTTTAACTACATTTGCAGGCTCTGAGAGGAGCCGTATCATTTCCTGGTTCTTTTACCGTTCCCAGAGAAGCTAACATGATGCTTGGCATCACATATGGTCCGTGATAAATTCATGAAAATTGACTGAAAAATTAATAAAAGAATATTAATTTATATAAACAATCTTAATGATCTATTTTAAAAGGCCACCATCACCACTACCTTTGAGAGGTAAAATTCTGACCAGTTTTCAAAGGAATATTTTACTTGTAAAAATCCATTAATTTTAATAAAACAACAAAAAGTACTTGCCTGATCTAAAACATCTTATAGCGGTAGCTTTTAGATCAGAGTATAGTAATATAATCAAATGAGAAAGAAAGGTTTAAACAAATGGGCTTTTAAACAACAAACTTTTATTTATTTATTTTAAATGAAAGAGACCTAAAAATTCAACGTATCAGTAGGCAGAGAGCTAAAAACTATTCCTGGAAAGTAAAAAAGAAAAAAAAACAAAAAAAAAGGGATCTTCCTATGCTATGTTGTTTATCATGGCTCATCAGAAGCAGAATCAGAAAGGGATGTTCACAATCTTATGACAAATTGACTAACTTGAAAGTAAAAACATTCTATACTGCGTTGTTTTTTTTTAAATCTACACGCTAGAACTACATACAACTGAGCACTTACATTTATCTATTTGTCTACAGTATATCTTACAAGGGACTGTAAAAATAAGCCAATCATACATACAGAAGACTATCATACACATAGAAGAGGATAATGCTATTGAAAAATTTTTGCAAGTAACAAAATGGTCAGATTTTAAGACTACAGAAAGTACTGCAAAAAATGTAAAACTGACGTAAATGTGAACCACTATTAGAAGTAAATTATTCAGAAAAGGATAAAGACAGTATCTAGAGAAAAGTTATTAAGGAGATACAATGCTGAGTGGTTCTACTCACATGGAATCATTTCTGACCAGCTGTCCATTTTGGCGAACAGCATTTTCACTCATAGAGCGCTCTCTTTTTAGCCTGCCAACTGCTCGGATCTGTTAAGACACAAAGAAAAGAGAAGGGAATAGAAAAATTCTGTAGCCTACTGGCTGCTCATCATCAAAAGAACCTCAATCCGAGGCTACTCACAAAATTTACAAAGAACATAACCAAGAAATAGCAACCAAGAATTGCTGCTGCCAAGCATGTGTATTATAGACAGACATGTTTAAAAACCCCTTTTAATGCAGATAAACTCAGGAATGTTTATTTACTGGTTTATTTTTAAGTATCAAGCTTAGTTGGTAGAATTATTAATAGTATAATTTATATTACACATTTATATTATTTATAAGAACAATTTACAGGAGTTTTTAAAGGCACATATATTGTAGGAATGGGATGTATTTGTATTATTAACAAAAGTTCTTGGCTTCCAAGGTTAAAACAAATTCAGATTTGGTTCGATATCTGAAAACTGGACTAAAAATGAGTCTCCCTAACTTAATAGTTGTGGGCATCCCAGAAATGGCCGTATCTCCTGTCCCACATGCTCTTTCTAGAAAACGTACCTCTGACCTCCTCCCATTAAGAGATGAGATTGATGTTCCTTGCCCTTGAGACTGGGTGGCCTAGTGACTGCTGCAGAAGTGATGCAATTAGACTTCTGAGGCTAGGTCATAAACGACAATACAGCTTCCGCTTTTGTTTCCGGGAGGAAGCCCAAGAAGTCCCATGGAAAAGTCATGTGTAGGTGTGCTGGCTGACACCCCTAGCTGTGGTCCCAGACAGCCAGTATTAACCAACACGTGAGTGAGCATTCATTTGCCGGCAGCCCCAGTGGTTGAGTCACCTCTAGCTTTTAAGGCTTCCCACCTGAGGCCCCAGGTAAACACTGTCGAACAGAAACAAGCTTTGGCCACAGTGCCCTCTGCAAACTCCTGACCTGCAGAGTCCATGAGCTAAAGAAATGTTCTGTTGTTGTTGTACACCACTAAGCTTAGGGTGGCTTGTTACTCGGCAGTAGATAACCAGAACAGTAGTAATCATTACATTTCCAACTGGTTTAAAAAATACTTTTTAAAACTAGAAACAGCCATGGCAACTTCATGGTAAAAAAAAAAAAAAAAAAAATTCATACTTTATTATGAAGGACAACTGGTATGTGACTCAAGTAAACGCTAAAAAGGATTTAAAAATTAAGATTAAAAAAAATGCCAATCAAGATTTATAGATTTTTTTTTTTAAGACAGTAGATTATCAGTTTATAAGCAGCATCAAAGCAGAATAAATCCTGTAGTTCAGGACAATCAAACTTAAAGCCACGCTAGGCAGCACATAATTTCAGAGCATGGTTTAGATGTAGTTGTGAGCCATTTACTCATCTAAACGAAAGGAAAAATAACTTCTGAAAACAGAAAAGGAGTCAATTTGGAGCCTCCTGCAAGAGCTCTTTAAAATTAAACCAAAAATCAAAATTCTTTCTAAACAATTATATGTAAAATTTAACACTTACACAATCAAGTGCATTTTATCCATAGTGAGCAGTAATGGACTGGCTTGTGAGAACCTGCTGATACCTGCCTTCCTACCCACTGCAGAGCTGTGGTTGCTTGCCCTTAGTAGAACAGCTCTTCCATAGAGCAGGGATTTACCAAGATGAATTTCCTACTCCATTACAACTATTCCTGCTTTATGTGATGAGAACAAAGACTAAGCAGGATAGGGAAGACATGTATATGACTTCAACAAAGCCAGTAGCTAGAGGATACTAAGTCTATTATTATTTTCACCATTTTAAATCTGATTTAAAATATATCTTAACAGGGACATTAAGCTTGATATTACTGCCATAATGGAGGTGAAAGGGGGGAACGACTTAAGGTAAAAGCATGTATTTGTATACCTTGTAACAGACCCAACTTGTGTACTGTAATACCAAAGAATTTACACATTGCTCGGGTTGTTGGGAACACAGCGATCTTTTAAATTCATTTTTTGCCCTTTAATTCAAGGTGGTGGTGGTTATTTTTTCATTTCAGGGTTCTTAAATGTCATTCAGAGCAGCAACTTTCCGGAAATTGGTTTGCATGGACTTCTGTGCCTAGTTATATGTATGTTGTTTATGATCTGTTATCACGGAGTAAGAAATGACCAAAACCCTCCTTAATGTGCTTATACTCCAAATAATATTTGATTATTCATAGAATCCTGGGCACGTGGATGTCCTCCAGTCCTTTGTCTACCTGTTTCCTCGACGTGGTCAAAGCCCACCTCTCCTTTTCAGAATCTGCTTCAGGTGTCTTTCCTGAATCCATGGCTTTTGTGTCATCCTTCCTGGCTTCTAGGGCAGCTGCCTTCCATGTATGATCCTTGATGAAGTTGGGTCTCACAGTCCTTGAGCTCCAGCTGTACAATTTATACAAGACTGCCATAGAATTTGGCATTCTGTGGACGTCATTTGATGGCTAATATTTAAATGTTCTGAAAACATACCGCCTTTGTCCTCTTCCAAAACTAGGTCAGGGTTTATATAGTCCAACTGGTTTTGCTTCTTAGAGACCTTCTCTGTTTACAGTTCTTGGGCTCAAGACAGTTCAAGTTTAAGGCTGCGTCAAATCTTTCTTTATACAGGCATTATTTTCCAATTCATTTTCCTTTTCAGTTTCTCCTTCATATTATCTGGCTCCAGGTAGAACTAGGAGGTGGTGGTACAATCAGCATCACAGCCTCTCCCTCCTCATCCACACTGCCTGAGCTCCTCTAAGAACAGTGAGAGTTGTCATAATTTGGGTATTTTGCAGTTTCATGCTGAGATCAGGTGGTAAATTGCACAGTTGCCTTATTAGCCCCCGTAAGTAGAATCTCCAAGCAATGTTCTTGTCCTAGAGTCACTCCAAATTTTGGTAGAGATTAGGCATACTGAAAGGGTTCATAAATTATCTCTCAGGCAAGCCTCCAGATTTTATATGTGGACCTCCTCACAGGTTCACTTAAGAACTCAAGCGCTGCCGCTTTCTGCAAATTTATCCCTAGTCTCAGTCAGGTTTTCAGACAATAGTTTCACAGTGTTCCTCAAAAGCCTTCTTCTGTTAGTCTCCTTAGCCTAAGCCAGTCGTTTTCAACCAGGGGATTTTGCCCTCTGGGAGCAGTTGGCAATGTCTGAAGGCATTTTTCTTTCTTTTCTTAAACTGTGGCAAAACACACACAAAAATTCACCATTTTAACCATTTTAAAGTGCCTCATTCAGTGGCACTCAGTACATTCACAAAATTGTACAACCATCACCACTATCTAGTTCCGTAACATTTTCATCATCCCAAATGGAAATTCTGTACCCATTAAGCAGTCACTCCAACTTCCCTCTCCCCAGAGTCCCTGGCAACCAATAACCTGCTTTCGGTCTCTACGGATTTGCCTTGTCTGAATATTTCATATAAATGGGAACATACAAAATGGGGTCTTCTTTGTCTAGCTTCTTTCACTTAGAATAATGTTTTCAAGGTTCATCCATGTTGTAGCATGTGTCAGCACTTCATTCTTTTTATGGATGAATTATATTCTATTACATGCATGTACCGCATTTTGCTTATCCATTCATCAGCTGATGGGCATCTGGGTTGTTTCCACCTTTTGGCTATTGGAGACACTCTTGATTGTTATGACTTGGGTGATGCTACTGGCATCTAGTAGACAGAGATCAGGAATGCTGTTAAAACATCCTACAACGCACAAGGACAGTCCTCCACAACAAAGAATCATCCGGTCTAAAATGTCAGTAGTGCTGAGGTTGATGTAGAATGTAGAATGCAGAATGATTGTTAGGGAACACACAGTTCTGGGGATCTGACTTGACTGACTCTGGGTAGCACCTGAAAGGATTATCAATGTTATCAACACTCAAGGCCTTACTGCCTTCCTCTTTCTAAAAGTTGCTGGAAACTTGCTCCCTCCCCACCCTTCCCTGCTCCTTAGTTATCTCCTCTTGAGGGCCTCCCGCCCTTCCGCTATAGCCCTGAAGTGCAGACCTTTGCTTTCCCTTCACGGGACAGCTGGTAGTAATCACCTAAGCAACTCCTCTCTTGTACCTCAGGATTTGGCTCCTACCACAGGATTTTAACTCTTTCTTAACAATATTTACAAATACTAAGATTTTAACATGAATTAGAACATGTGCTAAGCATATTACATGCATTATTACATTTAATTCTCACAATAATCTTATGCATTTGGCATTATTCTTATCTTTATTTTAGAGATGAGCCTTAGCAATGTTGAGTAACTTGCTGAAAGTTACATGGTTAGTAAGTGCCAAAGCAGGCCTTCAAAATTAGGTCTAACTCTTGGCCTACTGCTAAACACTTTGGGCATTTATCACATTTGACTAAATATCACATTACTGTAGGAGTAGACACACGATCGGCTTCAAGACTGGGTCTACTGAGGACAAACCTGGTAGACTACAATCTTCACTCAGTCTCAAAGTAATCACTCAGGAAAGTGCTTGGGTTGCTTTCAATCGGGTACTTGCACTGGGTAGGCAAAAGTGTCTAAAATACTTAGGGGGAGCTGAAGATTAAAAGAAACAACAAAATCCAACATAACAGCCAAAGGAGGTTCTGCTTCCTGGTAGAATTCTCACTCCAAGACAGTATTATCCACAGCAATAATTCCCACTGGAAACTTTGGGGTGCTGGGAAGCTGGGCCTCTAACAGACAGCATACTATATCTTGTGCTTTATGTAATCATCTTCATTTAACTTTCACTATTCTTGGCTATTAAAGAAACTTTATATCTTCTATGTTTGTTGGTGTCTCTCTCACTCATACTAACTGTCCAGTAACTATACAGAGAACAAAGCTTTTGAAGGCTGAAACTAGGTTTCATTCATTCTTGTACTATATATGTCTTAGACATAAAAGAAGTTCAAAAAAAGTTTGTTAAATGAACACAATTCTTCAAGTATCTTAGTGCCTTTTCACCATGCAAACACCCAAATTTAGTGCTTTTTACCAAGCAAACATCTAGAATGTCCATACTGGTATCTACGAGCAAATTACCTTAGTCACCTCAGCAGAAACTTCTTGTTGTTTGTCAGTTCTGACTCACAGCGACCCTATATACACCAGAACAAAACACTACCCAGTTCTGTACCATCCTCAAAATCTTTGCTATGCTTGCGCCCATTCATTGTTGCAGCCACTGTGTCAATCCATCTCATTGAAGGTCTTCCTCTTTTTCCCTGATCCTCTACCTTATCAAGCATGATGTCCTTCTCCAGGGACTGGTCCCTCCTGATAACATGTCCTAAGTATGTGAGATGAAGTCTCGCTACCCTTGCTTCCAATGAGCACCCTGGTTGTATTTCTTTCAAGACAGACTTTTTCGTTCTTCTGGCAGTCCATGGTATATTCAATATTCTTTGCAGAAACTTACACTTTAAGAAAAGGCCATATCTAGCACTAGGAAACTACACTGCCCTAGATTACATGGGTACTTTTCTCTTCAGAAAGAAAAGTGAAGAGTGAAACCACATATAAGTAGTATCTGATGGATAAAAACATGTTTGCACATCGTGTTTACTAGCCTCATGACAATATGTTAGAAGCTCACAAGCTATAATGAAAAAGTTGCAACTAGAGAAATTATCACAGAGAAGAGCTTCGTAAGATGGGTCCTGAATCAATGGCAGAGGCAAGATTTGAACTTTGCTGTGGACTCCATACTGCTATACTGAGGTTATTAGTGATATTAATTTATACAGTACAGTAGTATCTTAGTTATCTAATGCTGCTGTAACAGAAATACCACAAGTAGATGGCTTTAACAAACAAATTTATTTTCTCACAGTTTAGGGGGCCAGAAGTTCAAATTCATGGTGTTAGCTCTAGGGGAAGACTTTCTCTCTCTGTTGCCTTAGGAGGATGGTCCTTGTCTCTCTTGCTCCTGGGAGATCTTCATGCGGCTTCACATCTCTTTTCCCCCACCTCTGCTTCTTCCACTTGCTTGTTTAATCTCTTTTATATCTCAAAAGAGACTGACTTAAGACACACCCTACACTAACCCTGTCTCATTAACGTAACAAAGACAACCCATTCCAAAAGTGGATTATAACCACAGGCATACAGGTTAGGATTTACAACACATATTTTTGGCGGACACAATTCAATCCCTAACAAGTAGCTTACTTAACAGCTACCTTTCAGCAAGTAGGAAAAAAAGTAGAGTGTTGAGTGAAAAAGAGCTTTCTTTGCTCTTATCACCACACTGCTTTTATAACAAAGTAAAGCATTAATGCTGCTTATTGCTAAACTTCCCAACTTTTTCTATACTGCTTAAGATGTATGAAGGAGTCTTTCCCTTTAGACCACTCAAACGTGAAAATGCTCTCCACCAAATTTTACTTTCCCCAAAACATAGTACTGAAATTTAAAAAAAACAAAACAATAGCATAATACTTTATTTGGGGTGCCTACAAATCAGAATTCATAGTTATCAGTGTTCTATGGGGAAGGCTTTCATTACATTTACTAATGATATGATTTACAGCCTCTTAACTCCTCCTTAACTTTTGTTTTTGTCCATAGTATTTCAAAATCAGTTCAGGTTAAAACTCTACTTACTTCTTCATTTTGAGGAGCTGGAGGAGGTCTTTCTAAATCCAGAAAATCTAGCGGTCTTTCACTTAGTGTAAGTACACGAGGTGGTGTTTTCAGTGCCAGAGGTTTAAAGGGAGTTGACTGAATAAGGTCAAGATCAGCTGGTCTTGAAAATGTAATGTCTTCATTATTTCCTGAGAGATAAGAAAAAAAGGAAGAGAGTTTTAAAAAGACAGTTGTTTCATTAAACTTTATTTACGTTCTCCTACTTGTGTATTATAACCTACCCAATAACATTAGCACCATTAAAACTAAAAACCTTTAGCATAAGAACTGACATTTCACTAAGATTTACCATTGTGATGATGAAATGACCAAGAAATTACATGTATATTTGACAAAAAAAGCTGGTATCCAGAATATCTACAAATAATTATTAAAACACAATAAAAAAGAAACCCAGTTTGAGTTGGCAAAAGATCTGAATAGATGTTACACAAAGAAAATACACGACTCGAATGGCTCAGATTACAATGACTGACAATACCAAGTACTGGCAGCAACTGCAAATGTCATATATCACTGATGGGAATGCAATATGGCACAACTGATTTGCAAAATAACTTGGCAGCTTCTCCTACAGTTAAGCATAACTTACAATATGATTCAGCGATTTTACTCCTAGAGATATGAACACATATGTCCTTACAAAGACTTGCACATGAGTGTTCACAGCAGTTTTACTCCTAACAGCCCCAAACAGGAAACAACTCAAATACCCATGGATAAACGTATTGTGTGTATCCACACAATGGAATATTACTCAGTAATAAGAAAGTGAATAACTGTTATGCAACAAAACGGGAAGCTCTCAAAACTTACACAGAACAAAAGAAGCCATACACAGAAGAGTACATACTGTATGATTTTATTTTTATGAAATTCTAGGAAAGACAATCGAGCCTCTAGTCATAGAAAGGAGATTATGGCTGTCTGGTGTTGAGGGGTGGGGACTGATTGAGAAGGGGCACAAGGGAACCTTTTAGGGTAAAGAAAATGTTCTGCATCTGCAATGCGGTGTTATTTACCAGGGTGAATACATTTGTCAAAACTCATCAAGTTGTACACTTAAAAAAGTATACATTTGACATACATAAATTACACCTCAATAATTAGTTGAATTATAGAAAAATATTACTTGAAATTTCAGGCTATTGTAACGAATAGAAATTTAAGTTGCCTTTCCCAAATCTTTTTTAAATAACATTTTGAAAAACCTAGAAGTTTTCATTAAAATATATAAAACAAAGATTTATCAGCCAACTTTTATAAATAAATGTAAAATACCTGCAACAACAATCCTCTCTGGAACCTGCATTATTACACTAGCATTTTGAGTTCCTTCTTGAAATCCTTGTTCCAGGTCAGCATTTGGTGGTGCTACTTTTAATTTTTCTGGGACCCTCATTCTCTGACTGATACCTTCAGTGTACTCCATTTCATATTGAATTCGACTAATTTCCGCCATCTCAGCAGCAGTGGGAGAAGGAAATGCTGCTCCACTTACCCTGTGGGCGAAAAAAATGTAAAGACAGGGATGACTGAGAGTAAAAATGTCAATCTCCTCTTTGTAGTGAAGTTAGAAGACAATACCTTATAGAAAGAGTACTTCTCATTTGCAACTATCGAATACACACAAAGGAAAAATAAGACTGAAGAAAATGTTCTCCTCAACATAACACCTTCTTACCTATCAGCTGAAATTTCACCTTGAGGATATTGCTTAGGAAAAAACTTTAAGAATTATTTTATAAACACAAGTGTGGAGACACAGACACACACACACATACACTCTCTGCATAAACGAACATGCATGCTGCTTACAAACGCAAAAATGCCTGAAATAAAATTTAAAAAAAATTAAAATTTCTTAACGAATTATTTGAGGGAAAGCTGCCAGGACTTAATAAAAATGAAATTAAAAATTGCTCTCATGCACAAAAAAAATAAAATCTTTTAATGATGAAAATCAGATTCATAAGGTGAATAAGGTTAATTCTAAATTTACTAAAAAGATGTATCTCCCTAAAAAAAAAAATCACAAAATCGAAGTCAAATTTCTCTTACTGAATGTATATCTGATGACTGAGCTACAATACCAAATATAGAAACTGTATCAATAAATCCTTAACGTATGTGTACAGCTTTTGAGGAGTTGAAAGTTGTACCTTATTAATCTATATTTAGTATCATATTTACATGTATATTAAAAAAAAAAAAGAAGCATTACATACTTTAAGTGGGAAGACAGTACAAATGCACTGAGTAACCTTCTAAATTAGAGAAGGATCCATGCTCCCAGGGAAATGGAGTAGAAAGAAAGTTGCCCCAAAATATATAATGCTGACAAAAGTATAAAAGAGCACAGCTGGCCTACAGTGATGAGCTTCAAAGCCACTGTCTCTCAGACCTATAATACCAGCTCAACTGAATAAAATTTCACTGACCTTCCTAGTGGTGTGTCACTGCTTGTTCTTTTACTCATTTTTAACAGTAAATACACGTTTACAATAGCTATTAAAATACTGCTACCCTGTAGTTCAGTTTACTTTACACAACAATTCCCCTACAGATCTGAACTTTTTTTGGAGGTGTACATAACAACACGGACACTGCTTTTCCAGCTGTAAAAAAGAAAGAATACAAATCAGTATTTCAACAATTCATTTCATAAGAAAAGTATGAATAAAAGTAAGTATCTACTTAAAATTATTTTTAGACTTGAACACGGCTTGAGGCTTGATCTGAGAAACTTATTTTCAAATCTTTCCTAACAGAGCTATTCTCTACCTCAAAGATCATAAAGGTGGTTTTAAGCATAGTCATTGTTGTATGATTTTGCAAAAAGGATAAAGAAAATCCATATCAAGTGTATATACAAATGTGAAGTCAGGCTACAAAAAACACTTTGCTCCTCTAATTACTATATTCTGAAGGGAAAATTTTCTCTTTTTTTTGACTAAGTACAAATACAGAAATCATGAAGAGAATTCAAAGTGTAAAAGTAAATGTATTTGAGGTAGCCTACATTTCTGATGTGGAAGTAATGACTCCTTAAAATGGAAATAACTTTCAAAACTAAATTACACTAAATTTTCAGCAGAAGATTTCATATATAAATAAATAACAATAAAACTCTCTTAAAGATAGTATAAACATAAGTCAGAGCTGGGATAGTTCTTAAACTCCATGTCATAAATGTACTGTATTAATATATCTTAAACTCCACTTCTAAGATGCTTAGGAAGATTCTCAGAGGTTGCTTAGGCTGCTAAGCCCTGACAACTAACTGGTTGATTATAGCTATTAACTTGTTTCTTTTATTCTTTACCAAAATTTTATGAATTTTCAATTTAACAAAATGTATGAATTTTAAGAATCTAGCATGCAGACGGTTTAAAGACTAAAAAAGAGCTAAAAGAGAAAATAATTTTTACTCACAAATGCGTAAAACTACTGCTTGCTATTTGGCACTATCTGCGTCTGTGCTTCATATTAAATCCTTTAACTTGCTTCAATGGGCATGTGCTGGATTTAGAGCCACTTTTGTCCCTGGGGGAGAAAAACAGGGCCTAATTGAGAAACTAGATGCTACCAATGTTAGGAAGTCATTACTGGAAATTCTCCAAATGATAAAAGCCATGACAGAGGCACAATCTGACATTAAGAAACCAATAAAAATAAAGAAAACATTAATGTGTTTAACACCAACTGCAGTTTGAAGACAGTGCCCCACAACTTTCATTAGGTAAAACAAGATACAATAAAGAACTAACTCTGTCGTTGTTTTCGAATTGCATTTAGAAAAATGTGGCAAATAAAAAACACGTAAGTTTAAATAAATATAATGTTTACGTGCCTAGATAAATGTATATAACCCAATCCTCACTTACTGACATGGTTAGATTCCAAAGGCCAGCTCGTTATGCGAAAATGGAAGATTTCTTTTTTTCTGTTTTCAGACCATTTATCTGATTTTTTCTATTATTTAGAAAATATGATCATAGAAATAATAACAACTAAGATTTACCGATGTGCACATCACTGTGACAAGTCCAGTTGCGGATTATTCCTCCGTGTAGAAGGAGGCTTAGAGGAGACATAACTGGATAAAGCCAGGCTGTGTGACTGGAGGGTCCATGACTTAACCACTTCACCTTCCTCCTGTGCTGGGTCAGCGCACTGAACACTAATGACCAAAAGCCAGACTAGTTGTGGGATGACATCAAAGACATCATACATGAAGAAACCAAATGGTCGTTTAAAAGACAGGAAAGAAAGAAAAGACCAAAATGGATGTCAGAAGAGACTCTGAAACTTGCTCTTGAACGTTGAGTAGCTAAAGTGAATGGAAGAAATAATGAAAAGAGCTGAAGAGAAGATTTCAAAGGGCGTCTCAAAAGACAAAGTGTAAGTATTACGAAGACACATGCAAAGACCTGGAGATAGAAAACCAAAAGGGGAGAACACACCCGGCATTTCTCAAGCTGAAAGAAGTGAGGAAAAAATTCAAGCCTCGAGTTGCAATTTTGAAGGATTTTATGAGCAAAATATTGAACGACACAGAAAGCATCAAAAGAAGATGGAAGGAATACAGTCAATGTACCAAAAAGAACTGGTCAACGTTCAGCCATTTCAGGCAGCATATGATCAAAAACTGATTGTACTGAAGGAAGAAGTCCAAGAGGCACCGAAGGCATTAGCAAAAAAATAAGGCTCCAGGAATTGACGGAATACTAACTGAAATGTTTCAACAAATGGATGCAATGGTGGAAGCACTCACTCATCTATGCCAAGAAATTTGGAAGACAGCTACCTGGACCACCGACTGGAAGAGATTCATATCTGTGCCCATTCCAAAGCAATGTGATCAAGCAGAATTATCAGATGATATCATTAATATAACATACAAGTAAAATTTTGCTGAAGATAATTAAAAAACGGATGCAGCAGTTCATCAACAGGGAACTTCTAGAAAGAAATTTCAGCTAGATTCAGAAGAGGACGTGCAATGAGGGATATCACTGCTGATGTCAGATGGATCTTGGCTGAAAGCAGAGAATACCAGAAAGATGCTTACCTGTGTTTCACTGACTGTGCAAAGGCGTTCAACTGTGTGGATCATAACCAATTACGGATAACACTGCGAAAAATGGGAATTCCAGAACACTTAGTTGTGCTTATGAGGAACCTGTATGTAGACCGAGAGGTAGTTGTTCGAACAGAACAGGAGATACTATGTGGCTTAAAATCAGGAAAGGTATATGTCACGGCTGTATCCTTTCACTATACTTATTCAATATGTACACTGAGCAAATAATCCGAGAAGCTGGACTATATGAAGAATGCAGCGTAAAGATTAGAGGAAGACTCATTAACAATCTGCAATATGCAGATGACACAACCTTGCCTGCTGAAAAGGGAAGAGGACTTGAAACACTTACTGACGAAGATCAAAGACCACAGCTTTCAACAGGGATTAAACCTCAACATAAAGAAAACAAAAATCCTCACAACTGGACCAGTAAGCAATATCATGATAAATGAAGCAAAGATTGAAGTTGTCAAGGATTTCATTTTACTTGGATCCACAATCAACACCCATGGAAGCAGCAGTCAAGAGATCAAGCAACGTACTGTATTGGACAAATCTGCTACAAAAAGACCTCTTTCACGTGTTAAAAAGTAAAGATGTCACTTTGTGGACTAAGGTGCACCTGACCCAATCCATGGTATTTTTAATCACCTCATATGCATGCGAAAGCTAGACAATGAGTAAGGAAGACCAAAGAAGAATTGAAGTCTTTGAATTGTGATGTTGGTGAAGAACACTGAACATACCATGGACTGCCAAAAGAACGAACAAATCCGTCTTGGAAGAGGTACAGCTAGAATGCTCCTCAGAAGCAAGGGTGGCAATACTACGGCTCACATACCTTAGACATGTTATTAGGAGGGGCCAGTCCCTGGAGAAAGACATCATGCTTAGTAAAGTAGAGGGTCAGCTAAAGAGAGGAAGATCTTCAACTAGATGGACTGACACAGTGGCTACAACAATGTGGTTATGCATGGCAACCACTGTCAGGATGGCACAAGACGAAGCAGTGTTTCATTCTGTTGTACACAGGACTGCTACAAGTTGGAATTGACTCGATGGCACCTAACAACATCAAAACAAGACAACATCTACTTTTTTTTCCTCCTTTATTAGACTATAGCATTTTGAGTAATCTTTTGGCAATAAATAAAATAAACTTATCTTCTGTGGTTAAGATATTTATTCCAGAAGTTTTGTCACTTAGAATCTATCTGGCAACCAGTACATAATTCTCTGCTACATAATAAACAAAAGACAAGATCCGTCTTAGAATCACAGATGATTTCAAATCTTCATTTTCTAAGTCCAGTGTTTCCCAAACATCAGTAACTCACCAATTTCAGGTTTTTCCATATTCAAATATCACTTCTGCTCTTAGGTACACCTAATCCTTTCTGTAACTCAAGTTTTAAAAATCTTAAACAAATGTATTTTTAAAGGAAATTTTACATCACTATCTTTAATCATGGAGCTGATGTACATTCATAAATACACATACCAAAAACACAACTAAAACCAAAAAACTGTCATCCATATACCCCTAAAATCAACTCATACACCACTAGTGGAACTAATTTGGGGACACAAAGATTCAAGCTCAACTTTCTCAGTCTATATTAGAGCATTGGAGCCCAGAGAGAGAGCCTAGAAAGTTAACGAATCAATTTGGGTCAAACTGACTGTGGGTGCAAACATTATTTATATGCAATTCTGCAATTACAAAAAAGTCTCTAGTTCTTTAACATTTATTGTGTGAACCTATTTTAAGGTTTTTACACAGGTAATCCCGTCTTGGTTCTCTTTCCAAGAAACCGTACTTAAAATTTAAGAACGGTGCAGCAATTTAGGATTAATTTCAGTTAAGTCACTGCAAACTTGGAAACATATAAATTAACAACAAAGTTTAAAAATAAGGTTATGATCCCACAGAAAAACGAGTTTCAACACCAGGAGGCAGGAGAGCAACAGCTAAACCGTCATCTAAAACGAGGCAGCCCTATCAGACTGGAAGAGAAAAAGAACTTAGAATTTCCTTTGGGAAAGAACAGCAAAACCAATGCACAAGCCTTTGAAACCAAAAAGGTAGCAGATCCTCCCAAATAATTACATGAGAAAAGACAACTAAGTACTACTAATTCTAATTCTTATATCCAAACCCATTTTACTAAGGGTTTTTCCTTTGGGATCTCAGTAGCCAACAAAATTGACACAAAAACAAGTGTTTTTCATCCAGGGAGAGGAAACACTCAGCATCATTCAATCAGGCCCTGATACAACTGAGTATATATTTGGGTGCAAAGGCCCGAAAGCTTTTTTATCCTCTGCAATAACAAGACGTCGCCACTTCTGAAAGGTGACATTCTCTCTAAATGCCCTTGCTCTATCTAACGTTCTTTTAGGCGAAGACGAGGGTCAAGGCTTGGCGGAAGCGGACCCGGGCTTTCTCCTGGAAGGACATCCAAGGAGCGACTCCCTGCAACACCTGCGAGCGAGGATGCTCATAGGATGGCAAAGGGCCTCCCAGGCGGCCCGCGGCCACCGCGGATGCCGCCACCGGGCTTCCAACAAAGCCTCCCTTTTCGAACACGTATTTCCCACAAAGTGAAAAAAAAACCACACAGACAAAAAAACTGTTTGTAAAGACGGCAGGCGTCTGGTTCAAGGTCATGCTCGGCTGGGAGGGACGAGGAAGGACCAAGACGAAGGCCGGCGTTCTAGCTCACGGGACTCTCCTGCTGTTTCCCAAACTCCGAACTACTTTCCTGTCAGAAAAGCCCAAATTTCGCTATAAATGAGGCACCGAATCAGAAAGGGAGAAAAGGTTAGTCCAAAAACGTTTGCGGGGAACGTGCTTCTCTCTCTCGCTCTCCTCAGAGGCTAAGGGGGCGGCCAGGTCCTGAAGAGGAGGAAAGGTCGGACTTGGAATACGACAGCCCGGGGACGGGACTTCGGCGGACACCACGGGCCGGCCGGGGCCACCGCAGGCCCCTTGATCGGCCAGAGGGTCCTGGCCGCTGTGCTAGGCCCGGCGACCGTCTCGGATGCCGACCCCGGGAAGGGAAGGCGTCAGCACTCACCCCTGGGCCTGCTGGAGGGTCCCCAGCGAGGACCGCAGCCCGCCGGCTCCCGGAGCGCTCGGGTGGGCGCTGTTAGAGGCCGTTGGCCGAGCGCACGGAGGCGCCGGGGCAAAGCACCGCCCGCAGCTGCCCGCAGCGGGCCGGGAGAAACTCCAGAACGACCGGGACTGGCCCCTTCCAGGAACCGTAGTTGCGGCTGATTCTTGGTCATGTGACGCGGGGAAGGGCGGACGTGAGGCTCACGCACAGGAGCGGGGGCAGTGAGACGGCGTTAAGGAGACATGTTTGTTATGGGCAACATACGCCAACCGTAGTTAACACCTTTGCTGCCCTTAAGCTTAGGTGGCGCAGTGGTTAAAGCGATCGACTGCTAACAGAGAGGTTGGTTGGAAACCACCAGCAGCTCGGGGAGAAAGATGGGCCGGCTTCGTAGAGATTTACAGCCTCTGAAACCTTATGGGGTCGCTATGTGTTGGAATGGACTCATTGGCAGTGGGAGGCTTAGTTCATGCTTAGAGTTTTGTTAGAGTTCGTGATCTTTAAGAACTCTAGTTAGCCAACCTTCATAAGCAGTTAAAATAACTTTACGACCATCTGCAGGCGAGGTCTAAGAATCTGCATATTTAACTAGTTCCATGAATGAACGTACTTTTCAAAGCCTTTAATGTCAGGTATTGTCTTCCGTAACAGTGACTCCTGCCTTGGCTGGCTTTACTAATCCTCAAAGTAAGAACCCCGGAAAAGGGGAAGAAGACCACACTAGTTAAGTAACGAAGAGCCTTGCAGCCTTGTTTAGCTTCCAGAGAGCTCTCTGGGTCACTTCACCTAAACTACTGGGAAGCCCTCGATCTAGTGCAGGCAAACCAGCAGCACCGTGCTCACCCCCAACTCAGGGAGGGACTAAAGCCAAATCATGGAATGCTTTGTACGCCTCGATTTTAATAAACAACCGAACAATTACATGTACTCGTTTAGAATTTAAAGATATTCCGGAGATGTTACTGTTCTTCAAAATAATTTGGGAAACCCTCGCGTTCTTGAGCCCATTCTTAATAGTGGCAAATCATCCTCCTCTAAGAATAGATTGCTTCTAGGGATAATCATTCATTTCAGTACAACCTTTGGGGGGGGGGGGATTGAAGATCAATACTTTACCCGCCAAAGAAAAACGTGTTGAAATTACTTTCAAATGATGATTCTGATTCAATTTCCAAATCCAGTATTTTCTCCCTTAATCCTGAGCATCCTCTTATCTTCTTGCATCATTTGATTCTGTTAAATTATAAAAAGTGTTGATAGTGAAAGCACCTAACACTTCCTGGCACTTAGTAGATTATCAAAACAAACAAACACAAAAACTTTGGCATTTTCTCAGGCTTACCTAAAAACTCTGGCCTTTATTTTTTGTGATAGAGCTCCATGCTGAGTTTTCCTTCTGGGTCATTCATGTAGATATTACTTTCTTTTTTTTTTACTTCTAAAATGCATTTATGTTTAACCATTATTGACTATCCTTGAAACCACAGTTGCCTCAACTCTTTTGTAGGAAAAGGTGGTCTATAAATCTAAATAAATTAACACATCCATCTAGTGTCATTCTGTTGCACTAGTTCTGATCAATTCTATCTAAGTGTCCCAGTGGATCTTTGATCTCAACAGGGTTTCAAACTCCAATTTCTCCCTCTTCCCAATCCAAATGCCTTCTCCTGAATTCCTCTTGTCAGTTAATGTCAAGATCATTTTTCCAATCACCCAGGTTCAAAATTTTGAAGTCATCTTTTGATGTCAATGCCAGCTATCCACATTCTTTGTCTTTTCTGTGCCTTCTGCCAGGTCATTACCCATCAATTGGGGTGTTACCCTTTTAAGTGGCATCCCATCTCCAATCGTTTTCTTTCTCTAATTCTTCATAGTCATTGGGCCCATAAAGAAGCTACCTCTATAAATTCTGACATCCCAAATTTGAAGCCTAAGTTTAAAATAAATGATGATTTATAGTTATCTACAAATCTAAAACTCCATAGCAGCAATCTGTTAGTTATCAGAAACTATGGAATAGCCTGGCAAGGGCAGTATATTAAATACTGGATTTTCCATCTTCCGGTTACCATTTATATGATCATTCGACTGTTTTGCTCAAAATCCTTACTGGGTCTCTAGTACCAACCTATGAAGTACAAGCTCACCCTGGGATTTTAAACCTTATCTAATATGGGTCCAACTTCCTGCTTTGTCACTTTATTTACCACTGTGTGTGTATATGCATGAAATATATATAAAATATTTAAATGAGTTATATGTGAAATATATATGAAAATATATATGAATAAAATACATATGTTCAACTATTAATTGTTTTCTGAGAAACAATTTCCTAACTGCCTACCCTTGTCCATGCTATTCCTGCTACCTGGAATGCCCCCGACTCCAACCATGCTCTGCTTCGTGTAATCCTACCTGCCCTTAATGGACCACCTAAAATGTCCCCCCACTTTTATGAATTATTTCCTGAGGCCTCCAACTCTTGAACCCCTATTTGTCATCTCTTACAGCATTTAGCACATTCTGTTTAATATTATAATTATCCATGTATTTGTCATATTTTCTTATATCAGATTGTAAGTTCCACATTTGAGATCAAGGTCTATATCTTTTTCATCTAGGTATCTGCTGTGGTCCCAAAATTGCGAACATCTTGCAAGGTTTTGATGTAAAGTAGTATACTTGTTTTCTTGTTTGGCTGATGTCATGGATTGAATTGTGTCCCACAATTCAATTTACTAATCACAAAGTTTAGTAAAGCAAAAAGAAAGTTTTATTCAGCATATGTTCAAAGAGGCAAAACCAGGAGAACGGACAAGCATGCTGCCACAGCCATGTATGCCTGAGTCCAAGGAACATTACAGAGTAACCAGTATATATTAACATCACAAAATGGGCAAAACCCTTGAAAGCTTTACCTTTTCACATGTTGGCTAGAAACTGTGATACTACATTTTGAACTGTCTTCACAATCATTGGTACAGGTTTCAGTAAGGACAGTCAAGAGGTAAGAGGGTATTCATTGGTCCAACAAATTTTCTATTCACTAAACATTAACAGAAAAAGACTGGAAAATCTTTCGTGTTCTGTTTGATTGGTTTATGTGAAAGGTTCCCTAAAAGATATTTTTCAACATTATCCTAGCTACTGTCTTTATAACTCAGGACCCAGTTGATATGTCCTTGTGAGTCCTTGTGAGCCCAGCTCCAGCTGGGCCACATTCTCTGTGCTCAAGGGCAGGGAATAATAACTCCAGTGTTATTTCCTAAATCAATGACCCCACCCTTCACAGAAGAAAAAGAAATACTAATAAAAAATACTAATTAAAATATGCTAATTAAAAATGACAAATGTTCAGCCTCACTGATAATGAGTGTAAATTAAAACAATGAGATAGGCAGAGACATAAAACAATGGCAATATCCAGTGTTAGTAACCAAAAACCCAACTCTTAGTGACCCTGCAGGACAGAGTAGAACTGCCGCCATAGGGTTTCCAAGGGGCCACTGGTGGATTCAAACTGCCAGCCTTTTGGTTAGCAGCCAATCTCTTAACCGCTGTGCCACCAGGGCTCCTAGTGTTAATACGGGCATAAGGAAATAGGTATTTTCATTACATTGTTGATGCAGCTGAAAAAATTCTAACAACCCTTCTGGAGGGTATCTGTGTATATTTCCCCTAAGACTGTGTGAATCCTTTGATTTTATAATTTCCTTCTCAGACTTTTCCTTAAGGAAATAATTGAACAAATGTTGAAATGAAACGTGCACAAGATGCTCATTATAAAACTAAACGAAGTATCCATCAGTTGGGGATTCACTGATTTACACAGTAAATCCATACCACGGACTGTGGTACAAATGGTGATTAGTTTCTAGCTATTTATATGAAAATATGTCCACAATGTATTGTTATGTTAAAAAAATCTACTTGCAAAACAGCATGTTTTAATCTCATTTTTGTTTAAAAATATAAATTCTGGAACGGGTATATACCTTAATTTAACAGCCATCTTAGATGGAGGTAGAGGGGTTAGAGCATGGTGATTTTTATATTCTTCTTTATGTCTTCTTGTGTTGTCCATTGTTTTTATTGTGAACATCTATTACAGTCAAAAAAAAATTTCCATTTTGGAAAAAATAAGACCAGATACAATTTTTTTTCAATTTTATTCTGAGACAATACACAAAAACAATATATTAGCTATAATTACAGAAATATTTGTACATTATAATATTGAATTTTTTCAGGAAATAATATAAAATGTTCAATACAGTTTAAATATATTTCATTTGGTTATAGAGTAAATATTAAATTCAATGGCAGTAGTTACATTTGAGGCACGGAATAATCTTTGAAAGTTAAGTTAGCAATAAAATTCAAACTTAAGCATTATTGTAATACTTTTATAAATAAGTTAGCTAATGTTTACTTTTCAAAAACAAAGACCTCTGAGAAATCCATTCTTTTAGCACACTGTGAAATTCCAAAGTTGAAGCCCCAAATTTAAAAGAAACAACTTTAGTTACACATTGGTATCAGGAAAACAATACATACGAGCTATAGTGTAATGCTCAGTCTTAGAAGTATGGCTGAGCAACTGTCAATATGGCTTCATTGGAATTGAAGGCTTAAGCATCACTTGTCTTCCTCAGAAGTTCAACACTGTAAGAGGACAAGAGAAGATGGAGGTTTGGGGACAAGTGGAGGCCAATTACTTGGTATTAGCACCTGTCAAGGGTTTTTACTTATTAGTTTGTAAGGCCATCTGTGATTCTGGACTTTAAAGAGAGGCAAGGATGCAGCAATTGTAGCCAGCTGTACCTGGTAACTGCCTTTAGAGTGGTTTCTTGGGTATTTTCCTAGAGCAGTTTTTCTCAAACTTTAGAGTACATTAGAATCACCTGGAGGGCTTGTTAAACCACAGACTGCTGTGCCCCAACCCTGAGTTTCTGATTCAGTACGTCTGGGGTGGGCCTGAGAATGTGCATTTGTAACAAGTTCCCAGATGATGCTGATGCTGCTGGTTCAGGGCTCCCACTTTGAGGACTCCTGGCCTACAGAGGGTTTGTGGATATCAACTAGCCCTTTATGCCATGAGAGTACAATTAGTACAGCAGGATATTTTTAGAGCCCCAAACTATTA